AAGTATAGTCCAAACATAAATATTAGTTCATTATAATATAGTTCAGTTACATTAAATAACTGAAAATCTGAAATAAAATAAAATAATTCAAAATGTAATTTCTATGTAAAATGTAACTTCTAAATGTAATTATTTTTTTTTCAAAGATTGTAAGCCATCGTATCATTTTTTATCGAGTAGCTGATGCAAATAACCAGTTTCTAACTCGCACATGTTCAGACCAGGTACATTCCTTGTTAATCATATCCGAGTACTTGGCATCCACACAGAGTCGAAAGGAAGTGGAGGGCTGCGAATCATCTGGCTTGACACCATTTTTGTCTTTTTTGAACGCAGGGAAACATGAAACTACTTCCACCGGACTTAACCTGAGATGATCAACTACATCTGACGCCACACATTTTGTTGCCGATATGAAATATTCTCTTTTGAAAAACTACTTTATTTGCCGTAATCTTCGATTCCGTTGGTACACGAGAGCCTACAACTACCCTCGGCACAGAATTAGAATTATCATTACGATTCGGATGATTGTTTCTTTTTTTGCGCTTAACTAAAACAAAATTGTCACATTCCGAATCACTTTCAACTGTAGACTTTATTGAATTTAATGGCACATCACTTTTTTTTGTACTAAAATTTTGCTATGCGTACCTGTAACTGTAATGGTTTTGTTTACATTTACCGGTGAAATTGTTTTCAACGAATCCGTATCAACGTTTTCTGCATTTATTACAAGTTGTTTCTCAACCAGCTGCTGTACGCTCTTTTGAATTCCATTAAGCAAATTAGTTTGGCTATCAAGCTGTTCAAAAATGGCTGGTTTAATCTTTTCGAAATCCATATCAACATTACAATAAAAATGTCTGTTGCAAAGAGTTGTTCTAATAAGAGTATTGGTTACGAAATATGAATGAAAATCATCCTGATAATCATTATCAAAAATAAATTTGACAGAGTCCACCAGTTCTGAAATATGTTTCGCTTTTTCACAATTCTTTGAAAATTCCGGCAGAATTAATTCAATTGACTCTATCTTCTCGGCCTCCGTTAACAACAATTTTTTACTTGCAACCACATCCTCAACTTTGAAATATTTATATAAAAAAATTTTCAACTGATTATCTTTCAAACTGTCACCGCAATTCCACAAAAAACAATAATTCGTCCATAATCATACTTTCAGCCATACATGCATACATACATACATACATGCGTACATACATACACACACACACACATACATACACACATTAAAGGAGGGCCCTTTTTAAGAAGCCCGCTGCCTTTCCATAAATCTGACCCTGATTCGACCTACGGTTATGAACATGATTTGGACATGGTATTAATAGAATTATATATAATTAATTCTCTTTTAATGTATTTTTCAAATAGACAAATAATTGTAAAAAAGAATTGTTTTGATCATTTGAAGAGTGATTTTAAATTGTAACGCAAGGAAATTGTAGAAAAATTTAGCAAGTAATGACTGAGTGGTTGAAAATATCGTTAAAATATTCTTAATAGCGGCTTCAATTTAGAAAATTAGATTGCGGCCATCCTCATCATTACCATCATCATCATCATCGTCGTCGTCATCATCATCATAAGCATAAAAAATCAATTATAACATTTGCAAGTTGTTTATCAGCGACATAATATTAGATCAGCGACATAATATTATTATTATTAATAATAATAATAAAGATAATAATAATAATAACGATAATAATAATAACAACAATAACAGTGATAGCAACAACATAATAAAAACTATTGAAAGCTAAAACATAAAAAAATGGAAATGGCGTGTTTCGAAAAAGTGCTTTTTCTCTCTCTTTTTCCCTCTCTCCTTTCTCTCTCCTCTCTCTCTCTCCATAAAATTGGAGAACATAATTAGGACAAAACGGTGTTTAGAAATTTGAAAAATGGAAAAAAATAACAATAATAATAATTGAAGGAAAGAAAGAAAGAAAAAAACGAATGAATGTTTTTTTTAAGAAAAATTTTTTTCACTTTCTTGTCAGAACAGTTTAGTTAATTGAACGTCATACGCTTTTTGTTCCGTCTGTTGAATAGAATGAAAGAATCTTTTTCCTTCTTTTGACACGATATACACGTCAAAATACAAACATCTACATTGTTTTGTTTGTTTGTATGTTTGTTTGTTTGTATGTTTGTTTGTTTGTTTGTTGGTATGTTTGTATGTTTGTTTGTTTGTATGTTTTGTTTGATGTCAATAACCTTTTTAAATATTTCTTAATGAGCCTGCATATTTGAACGTGTTGGACCTCTTATACTTCAAATGTGATGATGTATTAAAACAGTGCGGCTATGGAAAGAGGAAATTACTGCAGATAATCAGACGGGGGCAGTTAAAATTTTTTAGTCACATCATGTGGAAGGAAAGAATGGAAAATCTAACAACTACTGGAAAGATTGCAGGGAAATGAGATCGCGGTCAACAACAAATTCGTGAAGTCCTTGTGCCACTTGTTGAATATCACTACATTTCAACTACTACAAAGTGTTAAAGATCGGGTTTTGTGGAGGTCGGTGGTCGACAATGTCCAGAAATGATAAGGCACGAGAAAGAAGAAAGAAAGAAGAGGTGACTAAATATTTTACATAACTCTTCTGCTGCTGCTGCTACTACTACTAATGTTATTACTACAACTACTGCTACTACTAATACTACTGTTACTACTACTACAACTACTGCTACTACTACTGCTGCTACTACTGCTGTTACAACTTGTTACTACTGCTAATAAGAATATAAATAATGTTATGCAATAAAATGTATTCCAACGTTATGATGATCGTCATTAAGCTCATTAATCAATAACTTACTCAACAAAAAATAATTGAGATTCAATTAAACTTAATTGAGCTAAATGATTAATTTATTAAAGTTGATTGTCTAATTAGAAATCATTCAAGTAAATTATGTCATTAAGAAAGTTGTAGAACAAAAACTGCAAAAATTTCTGTTGAAAAAAATTGGTCATAGGCAAACATTATTAAACATACCACAATTATAATTGTAAATATTTATTATTTTTGTTATTTAAAATTAATTATTAATTACCTAACTTATTACTAATTAAAATTTATTATTAATTACTCAACTAATTAATATCACAAGTATTATTAATTACGTATTATCCTTAAAATAGTTTATCATTGAAAAAAGTTTTTTATGATTAAATATTAGTACAAAGTACTTTCACTTTATTTTAGTACTACTTTACAACACTCTTCAGTACTTTATTGAGTACTTTAAGTGCATTAAGTACATACATAAATCAAGTATTTATGAAGTACATTCATAAATCAAATATTTATGAATGTTTACTTACTTGAATACATTTGATCCCATCTAAAAAAAAACACTAACCTTCTGAAGTTTAACTGTTTAACTGTACTATTAAAAGTATTAATTAATTTATTAAAAGTATGAATTTGAGTTTGAATTTGAATTAATTTTTCCTTGTGGACTTTAGTGCTCAGTTACTTAATTACATATTATTACAAACATTACCGTGTTTTCTTGTAATAATTTCATTACAATTTTCGCTTGTTACAAATTACAATATTACAAGTTCTTACATCTATTTTGCTATGTTATACTTTACAATGCTACATAACTATAAGATACCATATCATTACATATTACAATATTTACGCCAATAATTATAAGATACCATATCATTACATATTACAATATTTACGTCAATAATTATAAGATACTATGTCATTACATATTACAATGTAATAATTACTTTACAGTACTTACCAAACTACTTTGCTACAAATACAGCTAGAGTATCTTCTTCATACTTGGTGGAGAAGCGCCTTATATAACATTTGCACTATTGCGTATCGCATTCAGTTTGGCGTATTGGGCGCGAGCGTTTGCAATATTGGAAACATTTATGTGTGTGTTAGTGTGTGTGTATGTGTGTGTTAGCTGTGTGTGTGTTTGTGTGTGTGTGTGTTAGCTGTGTGTGTGTGTGTTAGCTGTGTGTGTGTGTGTTAGCTGTGTGTGTGTGTGTAATAGTGTAATATATGTTTATGTTTGTATCATAAGTGTGTAGGTGTATGTGTGTGTGTGAGTATGTATATGTGTTAGTGTGTGTGTGTGTGTTGTGTTAGTGTGTGTGTGTGTGCGTGTATGTGTAGAGGTACTTATTTGTACCTGCAAAATTCATCAGATGGGTGCAGTTGCATATCTGTTCGTTTTCAAACTTATTTTACTCCAAGGAAGAAAAAAATTGAAAAATTGAATGAATAAAAAACTCATTTTCTCTTTTTTATCATTCGATTTGGTTTGCCATGAATACGCCATCTCCTTAGTAACAATAATTTCTAAAAATTTGTTTCTTCAGTCGTTCTTTTATTCGTTCATTCGTTTGTTCATTCATTCACTCATTCATGCATCTTTCCATCTGTTCATTCATTCATTTGACTATCAATCAACCGATAAATCAATCAGTTGCTCCATCCATCCATATGTCCATTCCTTCATTCATTCAATCATTCGTTCGTTTGTTCGTTCGTTCGTTCGTTCATTCATTCATCCATCCATCCATCCATCCATCCATCCATTCATTCATCCATTCATTCATTCAATCAATCATATTTATATAGCGCTAAATTATATTTTTAATTTCTTCCACTTCAGCGGTGATCTTGAACGCATTATGCTGAGAGCTGGGTTTGTGGGTGAACTAGAAACGAGGTGCGATATATATTTCTTCTT